GGTGTCGAGAGGCATAGTGATACCGAGCGACATTGTGATAGTGCTGGTCATGATGGTGTTGGTGTCAAGCGATGTGGAGATGTATGGCGGTGTTGATCTACATGGTGATGGTATCAATCGAATGGTGAAAGAGTGGTGTGTGTGAGTGACCTTCTCTTCTTGTAATCTTCCCAAGTTGGTCAATGGTCCATTTGATATTCTTCGTATTGGAGGAGCCTCCTCGTTCTCATTCGTTGTGGACTTTCTTGTGAGGCTAATACGAGCACAAACATATAAGAGCTTTTGGATTTGAGTCATTAGCATATGGGCTGCTTGTGTTTTGTCCACAGGTGAACTCGTGATGCGTTATTATGAAAGGTAATAATAGGCCACCTAGTACATGGTAGCTAGGCGGACCCTATGTTCTATTTTCCCAAGTTATTTACGTTTGAACGATCTCAAAGCTCTCCAACCTGTGAGCCTTCAGACTTGAGAGAGAAGGGTTTTGGTTATCATCTTGTGTTAGGATATATATGCATTTTATTTGATTCTTCGGATACCTATTTCTAATTTGAAATCAGGGGTTGAACCAAGTGCATGATATGCTTTATGCTTTTTCTATTTAAAAAATACATTATTTGGTTCGATTTGAAAATCATGTTCATTCGACATGTATCTGAAATATATGTTGATGGAAACACAAATGATGAATTCGTGTTTTAAACATATTTGCCACAAATGATTGATTAATTTGAGCTCTATGAGCAATGGAAACCCCTATAGAGGAAATCAACCACTACAATGTGGATGCATCATGGCCATTGACATGGAGGAGGACGATAATTTGTGTCTTTTATAGCAAAGAGCACAAATAAAAATCGTATCTAAAGCCAAGTATTCTAGTAGTGATGCAACAATATCACTGAAACTTTTGGTGGGGGTTTATACCTTACCCACAATGAGTCAAAGGTTGATTCTTGTGTACATCCTTTTTGTTGAATCAAATAGATGTTGAATACACTAATTTTGGGTCTTGGAAGATTGGAAGGTAAGAGGACAAGTTGTGTTTTACTACTACTTTCGTAGGCAACTTTTCACTTGATCTTGTTATTTCAAGTTTTGAATTTTGATTAGGCTCATACACCAACACCAACTCAATTTTTTTTCTTCTTCTTTTGTCTCACTTATTCATCATTATATATACATGTTAATCAGTGTATAATATAAAATGTTATTATGATGAGTCATTGTCAAGTAATAAAAAAATCTTAATCCCCTAATTTGTGTTTAATATAATCATGCTATCTTTTTCAGTCCAAAAATACCACTTTATTCCTCGCTCCGATCATATGATGTGATGCGAGTTAGAGTTAATCATGATAATAATTATGAAAAAACAACAGATTAAGGCTCCATATTTACAACAAAGTAAAGTAAGAGTTGCATAGAAAATCAACACAACTATATTAGCTTTGTTATTTTATTGGAGATAAGTGAAATCCATTAATTAGTAGGTCCTCTTGTTTGTGTATTATATTTATTTTGATAGAAACATCTTTGTTTGGATTTGCAAAGAAACTCAATTCAAAATGAAAAAGAACATGGGACTTTGCTTAGAAAAATAAAAATAAAAAAATTAGTGAAAGGAAAGAAAAAGAAACTGGATTTAGAAGTATCTCTCGAGACAAACAAAACCATTCCTTTCATGATTCGTTAGCTCTTACTTACTCGTCATCATGAATATGCGGTCAACATCTTTGACTGAGCTGGGCTAGATTAGATTGTGCCACGTGGAGATAGGGCTAAACACATATAGGGCGATGATGATAATAACGACGACGATGGTGGCATGAGTAATCCCACATGGTATGCTAGTGCCACGTTGGCAAGTAAGTGGGGTCCACGCGGGAAGAAATTAGCTTAGCTTTGAAGACTAAAGCACAATAACCTCGGAACTCACGATCATCAGCTGACATGCATGCATTAAGTTGTTGACCGCAGCATACGTAAGAAGAGCTAAAGAGCTAAAGAGCCCACTGCCCACTGACCTGACTGACCCCCACCCTTTAATAACAAATTATTTTGAAATTTGTGTAGCAGATATAGATTTTTAAGATTCACGTAGCGTAGTTAAATTCACATTCACTTAATGGTAATTAACTTGATGGTAATTTTCGTTATAAAAAAAACAAACTTAGTGGTAATAATATTATGCGTGACTATTGTGTCTAAATTGTAAATAATTACAGGGTGATTAGAAGCATGTTGGCATGCCTACCTATGTTGACTAAGGTAACGATGTCGTTCAATTCAAATCAATGGGTGATTAGAAGCGTGTTATTTTTATGCATGTAGAGCTAGAAGTAAATTTGTCTTGGCACGTTGTTCTTGTACATGTGTAATTATCTTATTGGGAGTGTATTATATGTATTCCCACATGTACAAATGGAGAATCTGGAAAAAGAGAGCATACTTTGTTAATGATTGTATATTGGCATTATGCATGAATTAGTAATATTAAATAAGTATGTGACATGATATATCATGACATTACACATTTAATATTTTTTTCCTTTTCAGAGAGAAAGCTACACATAACACTGCATGCTTTGTTTCATCGACCGTCATTATCCAATTACCCATCCAAAGAATCAAATATTTTCATTGGAGCTCAAGTCTAAAACCACAGCCTACCATTTGAAACTTTCAAAAGTATCGCATTCCAAGCTGTTTGCCCAATTAATAAGCAATTTAGTCAATTAATTAATTAATTAATAATAGCTAGAAGAAATTGTCCAAGACTCAGAGGTTGAGTGTTATCTCAGAAAACAAAAGCAAAAGCAGAACAAAAATTATTAAAGCAGCACTAAAATCTAAATGACCTACGTACATTTGTAGCCCATCAATCCAAAACTGCCAAACAAAACACACAGAGACTCATCTTGCACACGGAAGTCATCCACCACAAGAAGAAACTTCCTAATCCAAATAACTAAACAAATGGTTAAAGCCACTTTTTACTTTGCCTAACTTGATTTGAAAAATATTAAATTAAAGCTGTTAATTAAGAATGATTAGGTTAAGATTAGGCTTTGATACTTTATTCTTCGAGGAGTTGACATTCACAACAGAAACCCTTTCAGCCTTGGACCTGAAGAAAAACGTCAGCACTGGAAGGAAGAAGGCTAGGGTTTTGTAGCTAACGGCGTTGTACTATTCACAGAACTATAGGCCCCACGTGAGGGTCGAAATTATTGACCATTCATGACACAGTCACTCTTTGCTGTCAAAATCACACTGTGCCCACTCTGTGATGCTCTTTTTTTTTTTGGGTTTTTGGGAAGGTACTCTGGTACTATTGCACTCACAGCTCTCTATAAATATATATAAAATATTGTCATTTCATTGCCTTGGTTTGCTAAGACCACAGCTATTGTTTACCCAAAAAGAGGAAAAGTACACAAGTAATTTACAGTTTACTGGGAGTTGCTTGGATTTTGGAAGCTTTTGCTCTAAATTGGGTTCAATAATGCAGCTTTATGGGGTATGAAAGGGAAGCGAAGCGAAGAAAGACTTTCATGCAATGTTATCCCGGTCAATAATGCAATGACACGTGCGATAACTTTTTTATGCATCGTTGATTATTTGATTGGGTATACAAGTAAGGTTTTCTGAGGATAGTGGGTGTAGATGATTAATTTGTGTTGTTGCTTTGTCCTTAAATGTTAATGAGATCAACATCCCTAGACCTGTTAGAATCAGTCGTGTATAAACGAGTCATCGATGTAATTTGAGAATCGAATTATGAATACTGACTTGTACGTTGATTATAAATATAATTTAAAATTTGAACAAATGAGAGAAATCAGAAAAAGAAAGATGATCTTGTACGCACGTAATTAAGAGGGTTGAAATCTTAACCTTTAGAGCAGTAGGTAAAAGAACAAAGAGAGAAAAAGACATGTATTTCGACTACATACCTTTAAGGATAAGGGAAGATGACTGAGAGCACATTCCGTTACAAAGAAATATAAAAGGTACCCAATAACCAAATATAATTCTCATGATATCATATGTTACATTGCCGTGGATACCTTATAGAATATTTAAATCCTTTTATGGACATTGGCCAGTGAGCGCAATGTTTATTGTCACTTTCGTATTGGTAGACGAACTACTATTCAGTTATGGACAAGCGGAAAGAGCTAGTACATGAAATAATCCCTCTTCTATGTACATTTTTTTTTGCATTACCATTAATAAAGTAGTTTGATTAGATGAGCTACAAAATGCAATGAGCTTGTAATCTTTCCCGTGGAAGGACAACGACCACATATTTAGTGTCGACTGAAATCATACAAGTTTGTGAGGGAGTGTGCTATGCTATCTCTCAAATTGAAGTGAAGTCTTGCACCGTAATATATAAAAGTCTAGATATTTCTTTATTTTCGAATTAATTAAAATTTTATCTTATGATTCAATAACGTCAAACAGCGTGTAAAGAATAAATGAAATGATTCATAAAGCGACACACCAGAAAAGGATGAAACTATTTAAAGTTTGGTTTGGATAAGTCTAAACCTAAAGTATGAAAGTAACCTTTGAAACTTTGACACCTATTACAACTCTAGATCTTGTCAAATCCAGAAAAAATTAACAAGATGGGTTCTTGTTTAAGTATATAATCCAAATTCATTGCATGTAAGATTTCTTACCATATACTCTTTTTCATCATCCATCCCCACCTATTCTCTTTCCATACACTCCATTTTTGACTTTTTTACCACCCCACCTACTCTGACTCCGTATTTTCTCCACATTTCCTTTTTCACCATACCTACAGTAGGAAGTGTCATTTCCATGAGGATCACGTGACCTAAGCTTGCTGCTGCCACAACGGAAGCAGGCGCGTGAGACAGGTCTGCACATAAAGGAGCATGGAGCATATAAAGCCATGGATGAGGAGGTTATGGAGGTGAGGTGGGTGGTGGTTACCGAGGGTAAAATCCTAAATTACCTTTTCCAATGAATATTAAATAAATATCCAATTTCATTAAACCTCTGATCACGTAAAGAAGCAGTAGATCTCTAGTCTTTTGGTTGCAGAGGTCTTTTTGGTGCTATCAATGGAAAAGAAGAGAAAAAACAAATAAAAAGGCAAAAGAGTGAGAGAGAGAGAGGGAGAGGGGTCTGTTCTGAGTCTGATCTGTGTAGACTCTATACTTTCTCTTCCTCTGTATTCTTTCTTTCTTATTAAATCCTTCCCACCCCACTAGTTTGTCTCATTGCTTTTTTTTTTCTTTTCATTTGATCCCATGCTCTAAATTCCATCCTCCCCTTTTGTCTTCTCCACTTTTCTCTTTTATCTTCTTCTTCCTTCTTCTTCCTTCTTCTTCCACAACAAAGGTAGAGGCCATAGATTTTGATAATATCAGAAAGAGAAAACAGAGCCTACCCATCTAGTGTGCTTCTTTCTTTTTCTTTTCTTTTTATGTTCTTTTTTGGGTTGAATTGAAAAATGGGTACTGGTTGGAGACGAGCCTTCTGCACTACAATCCCTCGAGATCCAGCAGATCAAACCAGAGTATCAGAGAAGCAGCAGAGAAGCCCAAGCCCAAGTCCCAGAAGCTGTACGAGGCTTGGTTTCTTCTCCAGTGGCAGCAGCAACCCTTCAACTCCGAGATTGCAATCTCACCCGGTGATCTCAACCCAGAGCTCCATTGATGACCGTGAAAGCCCCAGGATGCTTGAATGCAAAACCAGTAGTAGCACTCCCAAGAGTACAAGAACTTCCTTTCTCTCCAGCTCAAACCCAACTTCTCCCCGATCCCCTCTCAAGCTCTCCCTCTTCAGAAACAGCTTCAAATTTCGAGTATGCAACTCTCTTAATCTACCCATTTATTTTTATTTGCTACCCAATCGTTTTTTTATATATATTTGTTTGGCTTATTGGGTTATTGAATTTTCGTTTTCTGTGGGGACTTTTGCAGAGCAACTGTGGGATTTGCTTGAACAGCGTGAAGACAGGGCAGGGCACAGCCATATACACAGCAGAGTGTGGTCACGCCTTCCATTTCCCTTGCATAGCTGCTCATGTGCGCGGCCATGACAGCCTCGTCTGCCCAGTCTGCAACTGCACCTGGAAAGACGTCCCTCTCCTCGCCATCCACAAAAACATCAACCAATCCCGAAACGAAGTCGTGGAGCCCACCAAACCCAAACCCAGGGAAGTGGAGAAGAAGATAATAGTGGAGGCCTCTTCACCCAGAGCCTCATCGAAGCCATTGTACGACGACGACGAGTCTCTTTTCTCTCCCACATCTCGGATCATCCCTATACCAGAAGCCGACGATGAAGACGAAGACGAAGACGCCACAGACCCATTCCCCGAAAACGACGACGTCGAGGAGTTCCAGGGCTTTTTCGTCAATCCGAACCCTTCATCTTCCGACGCGCCAACCAACGGCCGAGTTATCAGAACCAATAATGTCCAGGTCAGGATTTTACCCGAGTCCGCTTTACTCTCTTCAGGTCGGGGCTTCGACACCTACGTCGTGGCGTTGCGGGTCAAGGCTCCTCCGCCTCCAGTTTTTAACGCTTCGCGTCGTGTTTCGATCGATTTGGTGACGGTGCTCGACGTCAGCGGAAGCATGACCGGCGCGAAGCTCCAGATGCTGAAACGCGCCATGCGTTTGGTCATTTCGTCGCTCGGCTCCAACGACCGGCTTTCGATTGTCGCATTCTCGGCTACGACGAAGCGGCTGCTGTCGTTAAAGAGAATGACGGCTCAAGGTCAACGTTCGGCCAGGAGAATCGTTGACCGGCTTGTGTGCGGTCAGGGGACCAGTGTTGGCGATGCGTTGAGAAAGGCGACTAAAGTGCTTGAAGATCGGAGGGACAGAAATCCGATTGCCAGTATCATGCTCTTATCGGACGGTCAGGATGAGAGGGTGAAAAATTCAGCCCATCAACGTCAGGGCGCTGGCCACGTGTCGGCTACCCGATTCGCTCATATTGAGATCCCGGTTCGTGCTTTCGGGTTCGGTGAAGCCGGCGGCTACAGCCAGGAGCCGGCTGAGGACGCGTTTGCCAAATGCGTTGGGGGAATTTTGAGTGTGGTGGTGCAAGACTTGAGAATTCAGCTCGGCTTCGATTCCGGCTCTGCTCCTGCTGAGATTGCAGCCATCTATTCGTGCAATGGAGGGCCTACTGTGCACGGTTCAGCTTCCGTGCGGCTCGGCGACTTGTATGCCGAGGAAGAGAGGGAGTTGCTCGTTGAGCTGCGTGTTCCCCGAGCCTTTGCTCGCGGGAGCCACCATGTTATGTCAGTCCGGTGCCTTTATAAAGACCCGGCTAGTCAGGAGATTGTGTATGGGAGAGAGCAGGCGCTTTTAGTACCTCTCGCTGATGCCGTTCGATCAGCTTCCGGTCCAAAGATCGAA